AAACCAACTTATTTGAAGAACATATACTCTAACAGCCTAATTCTCTAGAAATCATCTGTTATGCTTCAAGTTTTAAGAAAACTAAGGTTGATTTAGACAACTCAAAAGATAACCTCATTCTGAAGTGATTTTGCAGTTTCATCTCTAAATGCAAAACACCAAGGTAAGAACAATATTGGAAGTATATTATCCTCCTACACACGTAGGAGAGTTCTTAAATTTGGTTGTTGTTGGTTGGGGTTTTTTTAGTAGCCAATACTACCTCTCTCCTGAAGGATAATGAAGTTTGGTTCAGCACCAATCCAAAATGACAATATGAAAATTCTTGCTGTGTGCAAAGAGTTTCTGATAAATCATCTCAGCAAAGGCTCACAGTATCCTAATCCTTACTCTATCTTTACTAGTACATAAATAAAACAATTTAAACATTCTGTATAAAAGAAACCTAAACTTGGCATAATCAAATAGATTATAGGTAAATTTCTTTTCTCTCACCTTCTTATACTCATAGAAAACAAGAATTTTTCTGTAAGCCTGAAAGTTGTCACAGTATAACGCCATCTACAGCTGTGTGAAACATTTTGAATATTCATGTCTAAGCAAGCCAGCAACTCAGAAAAAAAAAAAAGAGAGAAATCCCATAAAGCAGGTAGTGGATGGTATGGCACCCTAACTCGGAAAGGCAAGTTTCTACACAACCTCTGAAAGTAGAAGCATACAATAGGATTAACCTTATCTTATTTAAGTTTCTTAATAGCAAGACTGCATCCTCCTGACGGCATACTGTTTCCAGCAGGACTCAAATTCCAAGTAAGAGCAATTCTTAAAATAAAGTAGCTATGTCTGGCAGAGCTGGAACCATGAGGACAACATGAACACTCAAACCAGTTTATTCAGGTTTGACTCAAGAGGAAAAACTACATTTCAGGCTAGACAAAAATAAGACCCAACATACCTAAAGAAGCTTCCAGACTACCATTTTTAGGTCATGCCCTGTACTTTTTCCTGTTTTTCAATTCATATGTAGGAAGGTCAGTTCATAAAGTGGATTCCATTGTGGCATTTCAAGTCAGATTATTCTCTACATAATAATTAGTGCTGTTCCTCACATCACTTGCATACTGTTTTGCTAGTCTGAGAATGTTGTGTTTATTTCTGAGAAGCTTTTTTTAATCCCTTCAAAGTACCAGCATCCTAAGCACAGCTATCTCACGCTCCATGAACTTTAGTGCAAATGCTCTGAGAGTTTCTTTTCTTCTTAACAACTTCATTACAGTTTTTACACAGAAATACAGTGCTTGTACTGTAACCATGCAAAGCAAATATTCTGTAGTAAATGTAAGCTTTATTCAAAGTGTAGCTTTAGAAGTCTCTATGGCATACTCCAGCCTGGACTGCCAGTGCTAATGCAGAGAAAATGGCAAAAGGAAAACTGTAATGACAGACCTTTCATGCTAACAAGAACTGTGGAATGGTCAAACAGAAAACTTATGGGCCAAACATATTTCCAAAACGAGTCTGCTCCTCTTTGCCAACCCATGACATCCCAAGCTACCCCTACAAAAAGGACCTCAATTCCTCTACACTGTCTTCTCCAGCTGTTTGCTCACCGTGAGATTGTTAAGTATACGAGAGAAAAATGGCTGGAGGATAAAAAAACCTGGATCACAGTTGCATGAGAAATGGAAGTAGAACTTTTCTTCTTAAAAAGAAGATGAAATGTCCTTTTGGCAAGCTAGCAATCAAGTTGTGACTTTCCTTCTCCTAGAACTAAGTATGACCAGGACACAGACCACCTGTGGCAAGACTTCCCAAAGAAATAAGCATTCAGGGACAACAGCAGTGTCAGGGATCCCTATGGGCCATTCTAGAAAAGACCTTCTGCCAGAAGTAAAGCTCTTAAGCAAGACTGAAACCCTGTTAGGGGAAAAATATGGAGAGAAACACCAACAGCCTCTCATAGCAGAGTTTAAATACAGTCAAAGCTATTAGAGAAAGCAGTGAGGAATCAGAAAGGAAACAAAGACAAAACAGTTGCTGTACTATGAAAATCTGCACTGCTGGCTTCACTTATGAAAAAACCCCATGGTTCTCCTCTAAACTTCTTTTGGACTCACTCTTTTGGACAAAAAACTCTTGCATTTTACCTCTTCTAGGAAGAGAGAAATCAAACAACATTTAATATTCAGGGCTTATTCTGTACAAACTGGAAAATGATTACACTAGCTCTTAACGCTCACACTGAATAAGGGCCTGCTTTTTGGTGTTGCCCTTTCTTTCATTTGTTTTTAAGGGGGGGCAAAAAGACTCCACTGAAAGGCACACATAGCCATGTACATAGATCTGCTTTTGCTGATATCACTACCACAGATCTAAGTACTGTAATTCAGGAAAAGCAGAAAATCACTGAATGATTTCATGAAAAAAAACCAAAAAACATAAGCCCACTGAACCTGCTATTTTGAAATCCAATCTAGTATTAATGGCAATAAAGCAAAAAATAAAATTCAACACCACAATCTCAGAGATACAGTGATGCCTGAATAAATCAAAATCACCAGTTTTGGTTTGTGGTACAGAAGTTTACATTTGAATGCAGCTGGATTGCAGTCAGCTAGCCAGTTCTCACAGCAGCCCCTCCAAGCAGTATTGATTTCTAGGGAAGAAAAGGCACTGTAAATCTGCCTGAGCAGCATTGCGTCATACTTTTGGTCGGCTTGGAAAAAAGCAAATTAAATGTTTTCCATTAACATGGTAAAGAAGCTATACAATTTTGTTTTTATTTCAAATAGAGTCTCAAGTTACAGAACACTTTAGCTAACTCTGTGGCAAGGACTACATGCTCTGCGTTTGTGAAGCCAGCAATTCATGCTTATGTGAAACCAGATGTGTGCACTGCACAGTTCCCAGGGCTGGGAAGGGTTTTTTAAAACGTGTTGCTGACGATTAAAAAGGACTCTGCTTTTCACTTAGATCATGGAATATCCTGCAGCAGAAACAACATGTTCTTGCAGGGAAGGGGAAAGAAGGGAAGAGCAAAGAGTCGGAAGCAGAAGAAAACTTTAAGGCCATAAAAACCACACAGAGAGAACAGCTTAGGAGCAGTGCGGTAGTACAACAAAGAGCAGCACAGTTCTAAAAAGCAATAAGCATAACATGATTTGAGGTAACAAGAACTCCTTGATCAATTATTCATATAATTTACAACAGTTACAGCTGCATCAATGAGGGAAAAAAAAAGAATCTAGGGCAAATATAAAATCTTCACAGCTATGAAGTGTCCTTGATTTTCACCAGAACATTTGGCCGTCTCGTATCATGTGTTTCTAGTTAGCAACAAACCCCTCCAACAAAGGGAAACAAGAGACAGAGAGGCACAGAACAAACTGTGCTGTTTGCCTTGCTGGAAGCAGTGAGAGTGCTCAAAGCTGCATTTCACTCATGGATGCTATGCATCACCAAAACCAAACACTGCACTAACACTGCTGTGTTTGAAACCTAACCACCATTCCACCTAGATGCATCCATGTACCCCATGGGATTATGAGGAAACCTTCTGTCAAGTCTTCACTCTCTCAACACATAAAAAACTGCACTTCAAAAATAAATAAATGTTTAAATAACCCCCAGAAGAAATTATGTGTCTTTGTAATGTATTGTTATCTCAACTTGTATTGCTTAGTGTATTCCTAAGGCAAACGTGACAAAGAGAAACATTACAAAGGTAAGATTTTTGGATAGGGTTTTTGCCTTCAGTTTAAAATCACTTTGTAATCAGCAGCAGCTTTTCTGCTCTGTCAAGGTTTGAATACAGTGTCCTCTGTTGTTCAAGATGACCCTGCTAGCGGACTGGAGAAACATGGGTGCAGCAGAAATCCAAGAAATGTGAAGCGAAGAGAGGGCATGGTGCAGCAAAGGGATGACGGGGCCTAACTGTGCTTGCTGCACCCACCCCCAGATGTGAACAGCAGATCATGAGGAAAGGTTATGAGTTGAAGAACTGACTCTGCTAATGGGAGAACTCAACACCAATTTTGATTTTACTCCATGGATGGAAAGACAATATACTTAGGTCTAGCTCAGAGCTCTAATTTCAGTTTAAATTAAGATCAATAAAGGATTAACTAGAAAAAAATCTGCAGTTCTTCTCAGGTGAATCAAGAAATATTTATTTAAGAAGCTTTCCAACAATTAAGTTAACACCTTGCAACAGGTAGTTTTTAAAAATGGAGAATCTGACAGAACTTTAGAAGCACCTATGTTCAATCCTAAATAAACCTGTAAGAAACATTTCCACTACTACTCACTTTTTTCAGCCAACTCTCTACACTTAGTTCAATTAATCTTGTCAGTATGAAGATTCTGTATATACCATCATTACATTCAAAACACTGGCAAACAAAACCATAGCATAGTCAAATCTCCCTAAGTGTGTGCAACCCTAGCATTGATAAGTTCAGCAAAGTTCTTGGGGTCACATGCCTTTTTCTTCCATCAGTATTTATCCTGTACAAGCAAGAATGGGTTCTAGATGCTAAGAAATAACCACAGTGCTGATAAACAGAAAGTCATCATATACAAACCTCATTCATCTCCCACTGCTGGAGACACCAGAGAGCATTTTCATACTTTTGTGGCCACTCAAAGAGAGCTCTGAATGTGGCACTTGGAAGTGGGATATGTTTCTAAAAACACAGCATGCCATAGAGCTCAGAAACAGCCTGTTCTCTTGCCAACAAAAAACTGTAGATATATCTTTCTACTAATAATCTAAGGAATTATTTCTGGCTCTAACCTACAATGCATATTATGTTGTTTTCCTCTCCCATTCCCCAGCATTGCCTATTACAACATTTGTATCAGGTAGCAAGGAGATACACACACAAAGGAAGGAGAAAGCTCAGAGATGCATTTGAGTGTTTACTTCACAAAAAAGAAGAATCCTTATTTTGAAAACTGTACTAGACAATTCAATTTGCTTGAAAAATGAGTCACTTTACCTTGGTGTAAGGCTTCTGAACTCCTGCTAAGGCTGTCTGGCCCGTTAGGAGGTCTTTACCTTTAGCAGAGATCTTCAGATGAAGGCAGATCTCTCCACCCTTGGACTCCCAGAGGCTCCCTGCAGCAACACCTGGAATCACAGCAACAGGGAAGGCATTTAGCTTTATCAAAGCCACAGTTTTAGAATGGATAAGAGAACAGTGTCCTTAAAGGCTGCATCTTGGTTTAAGCAATGTAAACTTGCAAAATTAGAACCCTACATCTTCTTTTGGAGACTTCAAGGCTGCAAAGAGGTGTTTAGCAATACTGGAAAGCTTTCAGCCAGCTATAGATGACTCTAGCCTTTACATTGCCAGTCCCAAGCATTATCTCCAACCTCTGAAATGTAACAGGTGACCTACAGGTATCAATTCTGAATTTCTCTCATGTCGTTATTTTCCCCACATTGAAACTGCTCAGAGACATGCACTGGAATTGCTTCAGGGCAAAGAGCACAAGTGTGACACATCATCTCATCAGGGGACTCACACAGGGCTGTGCCTCTGCAGGCAAGAAACAGTGCCTGCAAACCACCTAGCCTAGCCTCCCTGCACATGACCTGCAGCCAGCTGACAAAGCAGTCCTTGTTAAAAGTACACTCCAGAACACTGGTTTATATTCAGAAAAATTAAAAAATAAAAATTCTCAACTTCCACCATCAGAAGGGAAGGAAAACGAGATTGCCTTCCTGAAACGAATGTGTTTCACCACTGCTTTTTACATGCAAAACAACCATACAGAACTTAGTAGTTTACAAGCTGTGACCTAAATCCCTGTTTTTGTTCCTTTTCTCAAAATGCCAACTGAGGTAAGACCAGCTCTAATCACACAGAAAAGTACTTTGGTACATGGGATTTCTGTGGCTTGGTTTTATTTGACAGTATGTGGTCAAGCACCCTTTCTGGCACAAGCAGATGGCACAGCAGCTTCCTTTAAGCAAACAGTTCTGAGTGGTTTCAAATTACTTTAATTTTCTAATCAGCTATTCACTCCAGAAACAGGACTGCAGTCAGGTTAGAGACCATGTGATGAACACAGGGCTCCTTTAACAAAAATCTCAAAAATATATGCAGAAACAGCTTAAGCACAAATTCAGTAAAACCATTTTTGGTCTCATACTGTTAACAAACCAAACAGGCAGCAATATTCATCAGACACCAATTACTTTGAGCTTCTCCACTCAGTCTTTGGGGACCCTGACTGAGTTTGGGTCTTGACATTAGTACACTGAAGAGTTTGTTTGTGTTGGGTGGGTGGATGGAGTCTCATCTTAGGAGACTGACTACCTTTGAAACAGTGGTACAACAGAAACAAGTAACAATGGGGGGATTTCAGATGTATTGGTATCTGCATGTAAGTACTTAAAATTAGAAAAAAAAACGAGACAGATGAAGGGGTAAGCATATTCAGAATGATGTAGCATTACAGCTACTCAGCTATTATGGACCTGTTGTCGTAGCATTATTCAGGTATTTGGTAAAAGAAAAAAAAAATATTTTTCAATCTTCCCTTGTTTAGTACAACAAAGCACAAAAACAAATTATCAGCCAGAAATACACTCAAATTATTACAAATTATTCTGATATCCAAATTACTGTATTTTAAGCAGTAATTCTGAATGATGCTCATTTTAGTCTAAAAACCAAAGCAACTCTAAGTTGATACTTGACAAGTCAAAGGGAAAAAAGTGAACATGGTCATTCATTAGCTGCAGCTAGTAAATCTGTTCCAGCCATATTGCTTGGCCAACAGCCTGAGCAAGTTCAAGTACAAACACTTTTATTTCCAAGTTGAGTGACAATTTATAACAGCTATCAAGTGGTCAGGATAGAACACAACCCCAAAGTCCCCAGAAGACTGCTAGATGTACAGCTTGAAAACAAAAACTTGTGACAAAATACCGTAGGGGGAAAAAGGTTGTGACTTTTTGTGCAGGTAAATATTCAGCTTCACAAATTTCTTCCTTCCTGCCAGTTGAAATGAGAGTCCCTTTCTTTTTGCTTCTCCACTAAATTCCTGGTTTAGAATCTGCAAAAAATATTGTCACAAATTTATATCTGGTGTTAGTAATGTTAGCAGTCTCATAGGGGAAATAAATATCACTGAATTGAATATATTTGTGTTTAAAGATGAAAGTATGGTATTGAGTGTATGTGTGTGTATGCATCTGCACAAATATATGTATATTAAATATTTATATTATCAGTCAGCTTCTCTAAAGTGCTCAGAATAGCACTTTAAAAATATTTTTATGAACCTGTTTTGTATTTATAGACTACATCCTGAGTTTCAGCCTTTATCCAACAAGCTGGAGCCTTTTATGACACATGTAGTCTCCTGTTTTGGTGTCCAGTATCAACAAGTCTTAGGGATTTTTTTTTTTTTCTGAAAGGACTTTTCATCCTCAATGCTATGTTCTTCCTCTCTTGCTAAGTATAAAATCAAAGTTTTAATACTTACAAAAATACACATCTCATGGAAAAGAAGCTAAATGTAATTTAGAAGGATTCATGAATGAATGAATGAATGGCCTTCTTATTCTAATAATCCCAAAGGCATCAACCTAAACCTTCAAACCTGACTCAAGTCTACCATGAGGTTTCCATAATCCAAACTAAAGTCTTTAAAAACGTAGGATTTCCTTACAAAGAAATAAGATGATATGGAAGCTCAGCAGCATATGATTAAGCATTTGATAACTTGATGCTTTGATAAGGCGTCACCTTAATCTCTCACCTTTATCTCTGTCATGGAGGAGAACTGTAAATCAGGAAACTGAAACTAAGCAGCTGGAGAAATCTAGCTACTCAGATAAGATATACTTTCTGTGTCAAAAAATTATATGAATGCTTTCTGCAGCCAAACCTCTGTGAGAGAATTAAGTTATTTAACAAAGCAGAAGAGGTAGAGAAGTTCTCAGCTTTATATGTAACTAGAAACAAGGAAATACCCAGCAATGTGTATTGTGAAAAACTATTCAACCCTTTTAATGCAGACTCTACATTTTCACAGGCAGCAGGTACAGACTCGCTACTCTCACATCCTTATTATTTTCAGGTAAAAATCTTGCATCAAGCACAAATTAAAAGGTATAGTCAATTTGGAGAACACAATTTTCAGAAACATTAGTGGAGTTTTGTTAGAAAGGATCCATATCTACTAACTCTGGCAGTTTCTACTCCTGCAGACAGACTTATTTTCATTTACATCAACAATTAAACTAAGTTGTAATCTGTTCCCATATTCAGCATCAAGCCCCTGAAAAGATGGAGGGATCAAATTGAAGATATACAGAAAAATCTCAAGTCAGGCACTTCCCACAATTAATATTAATATATTCATACTTCACACACTGCTACTTTTATTATTACTCTATATTACTTCTGTTGGCTAGTGAAAAGTATCTTCAGTACTGAAGGTTTTCCATCTGAGATAGAATAACATTCATGTTTTCTGACATGATACCCAGTTGATAGGAGTATTCATCCCAATTCAGATCAAGACTAGTAAATTTCATTGGAAAGTAAAACGCCTACAGGATACAAAGAGGAGCCTTACTCCCTGCCAAGTCTGACAAAAATACTGCTAATTTTCCTAAGCAGGAGTTACATCCACTGGACAACTGGAAGTTAGCAATGCCTTTAAAAGTTTCAAGGCCTCACTACCACTATTCCAGCTGTGAGTATTTCACGAGGAGACTCTGGATCAGCACAGCTACCTAGCCACTATAAACTGCCAGGTAAAGTCACAGTACCTCTGCAGAAGCATGAAAGTGCACTAATTTCCTAAATGTTAATTACACTGAAACAAAGCTTCAATTAGTAGCAGATCACAACCAACACACTAATGTTTTTGTTTGCTGGTGTGTACAGATGCAGGTCTGAGAAACATGTCTAAAAGGGACAAAAAGCAGTTCTTCATTTTACCTTTATTTGTTTGGGCAGACCACATTCTCAGCTACTCTCTTTTTTACGTTCCAACACCAAGGGTTTAATTTACAGTTTGTATCAGTTATTAAAATATAATAGGAACAAAAAAAAAAGGAACACAGAAAAACAGGTTTTCTGGCCAGCCCATTGCTTGGTTCTACAGGAGAGGATTTATTTTTCTGAAGTTAAAAAATAAATGAAAATACAGACATCATGACAGAGTAATTAGAGTGTTTAAGCATCAGTGGGCAGTCTGGTGAAACAGGGCTCACTCCAAAGATGAGCAAAAAGAGATAGTGTGTTTTTTGAGGAATTGTTGTAGAGGGGAATGAAGGACAGTGAAATTACAGGACTTGAACAAAGAGGCAGCATGGAGGGACCTGATGGGTTTCCATGCTGTCACTTTCTTTGTGCACCTGAGGAACAACAGCCAGATGTCAAACAAACTAAGGACAACAAAAAAAGCCATCACAACTAAGCCTTGTAAGAATGGTGGCAGTCAAGAGGTTAAGAAACAATTCTTATAGAAAACCATTCCTTCAAGAAACTCCTCAGAAAAGCAGCAGAGGATGGAAAGTACTCCCCAGCTGAAAGCACAAACACAATTCAAGGGAACCAACTAAAAACTGCAACTGGGAATTTATGAACTTTGTTTGTATGCTAATGTACCACTTCCTACCCTCTTCAGTCTGTGAATATACACCTCTTGCCAAGGGACTTGAAAGAAGAAAGCCTGTATAACATGTGAATGTTCCTGGGTTTGGTGACAACAGCCAACTAAGAGTTCAAAGAAAGGCTGCAAAATGAGGAAAATGAGGCACATAATGAAAAGCAAACATAATGATTCAAGAGTGGGGTGGTGTGAGAAGCAGAAAAGGCCTTGACACTGTAAGCTCCGCTCAGGAGTAAGGAAAACATCTCTGTATTATCAACACTGATTTCAGCACAAATACAAATCATGTATCCAGACCAACTACTATGAAGAAAATTTACTCTATCCCAGCCAAAACCAGCACAAAGTGACACCAGAAGACAGGCTTAAGAAGGGGCCTGGAACCATGGTTAATTTTAAGTAAGATCAGGAAATCTATTCAAAACAATTGGGTTACCGAAGTTTTCACTGTGAAAGGGAATAGGAAAATGCCACAGTGCCTTATTACTG